GTGTGTGTGTGTGTGTGTGTGTGTGTGTGTAACCGGGGACTGAACTCAGGCCCTTGCACTTGCCAGGAAAACACTTATTCTACTGAGCTATCTTCCCAGCCCCTATTTTCCTTTCAAACAGTAGGCATGTGTTTCTATTGCACTAACTTTTTAACAAGGAAAATTTAATACAGCTTGTAACAAGCTGAGTCGCAATATACAAACTGGATGCTTAGTACCACTGAAAATGATAAAAAATAAATAAATGAGGCACAGAGTTAAAGATCTTTTCAGGCTACACTATTTTTCTTTACAGTGAAATACCACATACAGTATTTTCCAGAAACAAATGCTGTCATTAATAAGGGTTTTCAAAATGGGACATTCACAGATATTGATACACAGTCTACAAAGCCAAAGAATTAGGACATATCAATATTTAAGAGTATAGAGAGGGGCCGGGGAGATGGCTCAGTGGAATAAGCGTTTCCCTGGCAAGCGCAAGGGCCTGAGTTCAATCCCAGGTTCCGCAACAAAAAAAAAAAAAAAAGAGTAAAGACAATGTTTCACAACCTCAAGAATCCTATCCTAAGATCAAAATGTGTTCAGAACATTCCCAAATCATTACTACTTTGGTATCATTTCACATATTCATTGGTTGAAGAAAATATATAATAAAGTGATTCCTAATTGTGTATTTTTAAAGTGAATTTTCAAAAAATACAGCATATTAACATGTAGAAAAAAATTCTAAAGACATCTATAAGGTGTATTTATGTACTTAAAATGTTTATTTGCAGACCCATGCAAATCTTTTTTAATTTTTTAATGGAGTGCAAATTGAAAATAATTTATAAACATAAATGAATATAACAATAAAAATTGTCCAAAATAAATTTACAGATTGGTCATAATAGTTCACTGTGTCAAAACCAAGAAAAATATTCATATAACTGGATTTCTCAAAGTAGAAAGGAGTAGGCAATAGATATTTCAAGATTTAAAATTTCTAAATTTAGTTCAACTTATAATACCCTATTTCCAAGAAAAATGAACCTTTTGCCTGTGCAAACTTTTTAAAGACATCTAGAAAACATAAGCCCAAAGTGTTTGGGTAATACCCACACCAATATACTCAGGAATAGTTTTCAATCTGAAAGGGCAATACCTACACATGCCTTCTTCCAAATTCTACCTCTGGAAGACCCCCAGAACAGGTTCAAGTATCCCCAAAACACATACTTCATACCCAACAGAGTTATTAAAGAAAACTGCAGGGGTCCAGGAGGATGGCTCAGGGGAATAAGTGCTTCCCTAGCAAGCAAAAGGGCCTGAGTTCAATCCCCAGCTCCACCAAAAAAAAAAAAAAAAAAAAACCACTACAGTAGACCACAAGAAACTACTGTCTAGCTAGTTCATCCCATTTCCCCTACTAATTTCTAACTGGACAAGGCTGAAAAGTAACAAAGTACTTCAGAAACTCAAGGTAACCGGAAATAGTCAAAGTACCTATTAAAGCCATAAATACTTCAGAAACATTGTTCACAATGTAAAAGCACTGTGACACTGAGTATTACACAAGTGAAAAGACAAAACCAGCCACAGCCTTCTCTCATGCATGCCAGGAGGCTGTCAGCACGGAGGGCAGACTGGTAATCACATCAACATGATGGGGAGGCAATCAAAACAGACAGCCAAGGAACTGGAAACAAGGCACAGAGCAAAAAGAACAGCACATTAAATATGCTTACCAGTTTGAAGTCTTGAATGCTACAGATGAAATACGGTGTGTTTGGCCTCCGACTCTCGATATACACACAGTCTTTAAAAGAAAAAGAAATTTTAAAACAATGGCATTTACCTTTATGGGTACAAAGACAGAACCCATAAAGCCACTGCATAAGTAAATAAATGACATAGCAAATACCCTTCATAGTATTAAAAGACATTTTCCCAAAGATATTAAGCTATAAATAATTTGAAGCTAAAGGAAAACACTTGTTTGCTTCTTCTGTGCTGTTTTCTGGTAGTTTTTAAAGAACCAAAAAGGGGAAGAAAAAAAAAAAAGAAAGAAAGAAAGAAAGAAAAGAACCGAATAAAGCCCTAATGACCCCTGGGGAGGGCCAATCCCAGAGGATATCCAAAGGACCACATTTAAATAAAAGGACTCTTGGGGCCGGGAGATGGCTCAGTGGAATAAGCACTTTCCTGGCAAGTGCAAGGGCCTGAGTTCAATCCGCGGGTCCGCCAAAAAAAAAAAAAAAAAAGATAAATAAAAGGACTCCTTGCTCAAGACTGCACAGCAAGACTAAATAAGGATTCTTCAGGCAGATGCTCTCATGTCTTCCTTTCATTGCGATTACGGCTTCACTAAGTGCTACTTTATTTTTTATTAATAGTTTGTAAGGGCTGGTGAGATGGCTCAGTGGTCTAGAGCACCTACTTAGAACAAGCTTAGCAAAGCACAGGGACCGCGGTTCAATCCCCCAGCACCACATGCCAGCCAGCCCCGCCCCCTGGTGGGCTGAGCTGGCCACACACACACACACATAAATAAATAAATAAATAAATAAATAAATAAAATTTAGGGAAAAAAATAGTTCGCAAGAAAACAGACTATGCAAAGATGACTACATTACATCATATGGATGACTGGATTACATTATTAAAAGGACCTTTTCATTTGTTTGTTTTATGTATTTAGAACAGGGTCTCACTACACAGACTGGACTCGTAATGATCCTCCTGTTTTCAGCCTCCCAAGTGTAGGGATTTACAGAGGTGCGCCACCACATCCAGTCTCAATGCCAGCTCAGCACGCCCCAGGGGAGGGGCTGGCACAGCATTCTGGGTATCAAACCCCATTCCCTGCATGTGCCTAAGCAGGCCCTTTAACCCACTGAGCTATCTGGCCAGCCAGGACAGGACCTTCTCACCTAAACCAAAAAAGAAAACTAATTGAATCTCTTGTGGATAACTTACAACTGAATAATAACATAAAAATCTTGGGGGGTGGGGGGTACAGGGGGATCAAACTCAGGACCTTGCACTTGCCAAGCAGATGCTTAAGCCACTAAACTATCTCAACCTACATTTTATTTTTTAATTATAAAACAAAACCAAGGAACCAATCACAGAAGGAAATAAACCAAATTACATTTTCTTCTTGGAAGAGCACTTTCTTAAATTAATTTGAAATAGTAGGAGCTGGCCAATTATTACTGGTGTTCTCAACAACTGGAGTCTAAAAGGAAGCTCTCCCATACCTGGAATCGAACTCAGGACCTTGTGGGTGCCACGCAGGTGCATATGCCACTGAGCTATCTCCCCAGCCCCAAGGATACCTTCTGAAAAATGTTACGGGAAGATACCACCCCCACCCCAGCCCAAAAGGCAGGCTAAGGATAGTGTTCAGTGGTAGAACACTTGCCAAGCATGTGGGAGGCCCCAATTTCATCCTTAGTTCTTCAACAACCACCCCCACCCCCAAAGCATTCATTTTTTTTTAAAGTAATGTCAATATAAAGGTAAGACTCCACATTGCAGCTGATTATCATCATAAAGCTTAGAGCAGGAATGTCTACATACTACTTACTGAGAAGTAAAAGTATTCAGAGTCAGGCAAGCCTTCTAGTGAGAGTGATCACAAAACACTGAAAATGGTTTTCATTTTATTCTTTCCCTTGACTCTTCAGAATGAATGCCATCTGAGACTAACTGAAGTTACTGACAACACAGACAAATTCTTCGGTTGTCTCATTTCTCATTATATGCTAAGAGCCAAAAAAGAGAAAGGAGTAAGGGGTTGAAATCACCTCTCCACTGGACAGACCAGTCCCACCACAAGCATCAGCAGACCTACCAAGGCTGTGATCATGAAGTTCTCATTGAAGGAAACATCCTGTGAGAAAACACTGTGCAGGATGTTGAGATCTTTGTAACCAAAAGCCACACAAGAAAAACAAGAAATCCAAATGTCATGGGTCCCCAACTAGTATTTCTACTTAGATGTGGACTAAAATAGAGATTCAATCCCTGAATCTATGCTCAGCAGCTCGGGAATGAGTTATTAACTGGTATTTTAAAGTTACTCCAGGATCCAAGATGTTGAATAATTCTGCTTCAACAACCACTTAACAACCCATTCAACAACTAGTGATCTTAAACAAACTAGCGACTTTTCTTTATACCCCATACCTACTATTTAAATAAAAGTAGAATAAACCGAACAGTCTACATTTAAACTACAGCTCCACTTTATACAATTTTGGAATGACTCAAAGTCTTAATTTTTGTGTTCTAGTCCCTTGCTGTACTCACTTCCTGTATCCCAAATTTCTAGATATGATTTATATATTAACACTCAACCAGAACACAAACCACTGTCTACATCCGTTTGTCCATCACCTCCTATGAAAAAGCCGGTACAGTACTGCTTCCTTTTAGGACACAAGACCATCACAGCCTATTATGTACTGACACTAAAACAAAGAGATCTCTTCCTAACTAATGACTACACTCGTATAAGGTTCAAGAGATAAAATGAAAAAAAGTTTTGCTCACCATTATCTGGTCCCACTCCCACATGCCACTGCTTACCCCACACACACACACACACACACACACAACCAGAGATTGAACTCAGGCCCTTGCACTTGCCAGGGAAGCGCTTATTCCACTGAGCCATCTCCTGGGCCCCACCATTGCTTTCTTATGTGGCATTCTTCAAAAGAAGTATCTATTTTCTACCCAATTTCTGCCAAGTCCTTTTTCATCCCACCAATTCCTGATCATACTAATTCCCTAATTATTTCTACATTAGCAGCAGAGGAATAAATTATCCTGGCTCCTCTGCAAAGAAATGAAAATACCTCCTTTTCTTTATATGAGCAATTTACATTCCCTGTTAGTTCAGATTTGGCCATTCAGATGGTCTGCAGAGTCCACACTGCAATCAACCTTAGGAGTTGAAGAACCGTATCACTTCTACCTTTCCTGGACCTATCAATATCTAATGACTGATATCAGTATGAGAAAATAAGACAAAACTGAACTCAATAAAAGATGCTTGTGATGCCTGTATATGATTTTCTTTTTTTTTTTAGACAAAAGCTTTGTGCTTTGTTTTTGGTTTTTTTGTGTGTGGTTTTTTCTTTTTTCTTTTTTTTTTTTGGTGAACCAGGGATTGAACTTAGGCCCTTGTGCTTACCAGGGAAGCACTTATTCCACTGAGCCATCTCCCAAGCGCCAGTATCACTTTTACTATAAGCCCTTTTAACTCTAAGACATAAAGTGACTATTACCTCATACATTAAAAAAGACTTTCCAGAAAAGAGAACAGAAGCTATGTTCTATTTTCCACTGTGAAATTACAGGCAGGAAAATGACTGCCTATAACTATGCCACAATGTAGCTTAGCTGTGAGAGGAGCGAAGGAGAAGAAAAGAGCCAGCATGTCAAGGCAGTCTCTAGACTCTGCTGGCCTCTTTCCTGAGCTGGGTTGATGCTGCTGCCACGAGGGAGAAGGCAGTGTGAGAGAGCAGATCCTCATACCTGATGTGCGAAATGACGGTGGGTATTTATTAATAACTGGTTCCACACAAACAGCCATCTCTCTTTGTTTAAAATTACCATGGCAATATGAACTATCAAAAGCAATGGTTTCATGTGAGATCCCAAAACATGAGAATAGTAATCCATGAAATAAGTGATTGTATCAAGCAACCTTTATCAGTGCTTTGAAATACATATGAAAGAAGTCAGATAACTGCACTACAAAATTAAGCAACAAAACAGGGAGTTCATCTGACAGAATAGTATCAAGTACAGCTAAGGTCACTGATAGCATGAACTAAAATTGTTCAAGCTATGTCAAACATCATGAAGGAAGGGATTATACTGTCTTGAAATGATCTAATTTACTTTTAAAATAAAAACATTAAAAATATTGACTAGTCATTTTTTACTTTCTAAGGGTGAGTCACCAAAAATAATACTTTCTTTAAAAAAATCAGTTAAGAATTCAAGTCTCATAGAAAAAAAAAAACCTACTTCTGTTACTCTGAATATTATTCAAAACAGTTTAAATTAAGGCCAAATATTCGTAAGAAGTACTTCCCCATCTCATTAATCAAGCAGCTACTTAAGGAAATAATTTATACAAATGTTTATAGTCAAAATAAAATTGAATGGCTTATCTAGAATGGGAACAATAAGAACCAAAGTTGAGAGGAATATTACAATCTTACTTGGAATGTGCCTGGGAATCTTCTGAAGCCAAATTGATTTGGCAAGATTTATTATGGAACTTGTAACTGCATGGACTAAGGCTGGCTATAAAACTGGCATCAGCCAGATCAATGATCTCCAACCTGACGTCTGCCGAAGCCAACACAACTACTGCAAGTACCTTTTGTTGTTTATGGTGTTTAAATAAAAAGCGCCTTTTCTTTATTAGAAATCACAAGGCTGATGCCACAATTCATTAAACACATAATGCACATTTTCAAAATTACCTACATTAAAACATGTATTTACCAGATTGAACAACCAGTTTCTCCTGAAATAGGCCAGAAAAATGAAGGAGACTATTAGCATCAATATCAATTACTTCAAACAACACATGAAAACTAATTTTTCTTTACCAGCAATGTCTGGAAATGAAATCATGAGTTTACACTGAGATTTATTCTCTCCAACTAGCCTATGCCGAGAAATGGGTCACATTAAGTGACCTCAAATTCTTGTTAACAGGGAGGAATAAAATCCATGATTTGAGCAATGATATTGAGCAGGGGTGCTTCCGGCTGTTTCTCATAATCT